GAGCAAGACTCTGAGTCTTACGCTCGAGCTGAGGTCGAGCGCCCATCGAGCGTGAAAATCATGCATCTAGTACTTTTGTTGATTTTACAGTCCGCTCGAGCGAGGAAGTTCACGCTCGAGCGGAGCTTCAATATCTGCACATCCGCTTGAGCGAGGTAATCTATGCTCGAGCGTGGACCTTATCTTCAGCAAAATTTAGGAAATGGTTTTCAAGGAATTTTTGCATCCTCATTCCATCATAGCCATTCCTAGGCCATGTTTAAGGCCCTTTAATGAGGATTAAAGGTTAGAAACACACTAAGAGCCAACGACGTAAGTTTTGTACAATTAGAACGTGTGTTTCAAGTGTGTATCTGTTATGTGTTATGTAGGTCACGTGCCGCGTTCTGTCTGACTAATCTGCTCCGTCTGTTTGTCTTAAGGCCAACTGTGAGTAATAACTTAGTAAAGTTATGTTCAACTGTATCTATTTTCTGTGTGATAAAATAAGATCTGTTTTCCGAAATGATATGTTCTGTACAATGCATGATTGTTCAATTTCTGATATGTATTCGTGACATCCTTAGCATCATGTGATATTTATTAGCTGTTACCCGGTATCGGAGGTTCCTTTATGGAACCTATATCCGTCTGTACTCTGTTACCTGTACTGGAGGCCCCGTCATGGGGGCTTAGCTTCTGTTCTGTTACCCGGATCCGGAGGTTCCTTTAAGGAACTGGTTACTTGTAACCCTCACGTGTCTGCCTCTGTTCTGTATCTGCTCTGTTATTGCTAATAGATGTACCACATAAACTCAAGCATGACTTATTATTTCTGTATATGATCTGGGCCAATTATGGATTTGATACGAAACTGAATTATGATTTCTAAATCTGTACGGACTCATTCATTGAAACCCCTTTACTCTGTTATTATTCACTGGGTTTTCGCTCACAGTTTATATTATGTATGTAGGTGAGCCGGCGTGTGACCAGGGCCAGAGTTGACGGCCTTCTATTCTGTTTTTGTCAGCCAACCGTTGTGCCTCCCGAGGAGGTTCTGATCGAAGTCTATTGCCATGGCTGCTTTTGTATTCATGTTAGTCTCTGTGACTGTTTTGTAAAGTCAGGTCTTGGGATGTACACTTCTGTAAATACGTTGTAAATATTAGCGTCCTTTAACTAGCATGCTCATGTATATAAATCTAAGTTTTGAAATCTACTGTCTGATGTACGTTACCACAGCTCATTGGACCATGTCTATTTTATATATTTGCTTCCGCAGCCCCTTATTATTTGCTAATCTGTCAAGAGGCCTTTGGTAATCCAAGGATTACTGGCCGGTTACGATGCCAGACCTATAGGGGCGGGTTTGAGTCGTGACAATGCGTACCTCTACCAAGTCTTCAACTGATTTCTCCTCGGCCTTTCTTTCTATGTCTTCCAGGACTTCTTTTCCGTCCGGGCCCTCTATCATTTGAACGAAGCCTTTGGCGGCTCGGCCGCTGTTCACCGTAACGAAGCACTATTTTTCCATTACCTGTTCTCCCCAAACCTCTTCTACCGGCCCGGTTTGCGCTGGGAAGCGCAGAACCTGATGGTAGGTCGACGCTACTGTTTGCATGGCGTGCAACCAGTCCCTGCCCAAAATTAATTTGTAGGTCGATGGGACTTTAAGCACCCAAAACTCCACTTGCTTCATGACTGATCTCGCTCTGACCGGCAGTATGATCTTTCCGATCGGCCATTCTGGTTGAGAGTTAAAGCCAACCAATGGAGACGTTGCAGGGGCCAAGTCCTTGTCCTCCAACTTCATTTGTTGGAATGCGTCATAGTACATGATTTTGACCGAACTCCCCTGGTCAATCAAAATCCTCTTAATGTCGAAGTCTTTGACGCGAAGAGTCACTACCAAGGCGTCGTTATGGGGCATTTGAATTCTCTCCAAGTCCTTACTTGAAAAGGTAAGGATATCTTATTCTTCGGTCTTTCCTCTCTTCACAGCGGGCTGAACAGAGAGCACCTCCCTCATATGCTCGGCTTTCTTGATCATCCCACTTAGCTCGTAGACCCGTGCCAGTTCAATGATGCCATGAATGACATTGATTACGCCTCGCGGCACTGCGTCTAGGGCGGCTAGGCCGTTTGGCTTGGTTTGTCCCAGTGGAGCGGCTTTCTGTAACAATCTCAACCTCTGATTAACGTTAATCCATGATTAATTATGCCTAATTAGCAATTGAGGTAAATTCTACATTAAACTGCATCTGTGTGATGCATTGTTAGTGTCTATATCTGTTAGGTGTAGAAAGATCTGTACACGTTTTAGTTTTGGTTTGCGAATTGAAAGCCTTATCAGTGTCCGAATCAGAAATTGACTTGATTTATGTGCTAGTTAGGATTTATAGAATTTTATGGTATGTTTAATTAAAATTCGATTCAGAACGATTAAATTAGAATAAATGAGGTTAAATTACATTAGTTTGAGTTTATTTCATTCTTGCCATTAGTGGGCCACTTTCAAAAGTTTTGTTTGAGGCTTAATTCATACACTTTGATTCCCCACTCTTCTCCATCCACAAGACGAAACCGAGAGAGAGAGGGAGAGTAGGAGAAAAGTTTTGATTCAACAAGAGTTGGCTTTGGAAGTTAGAAGAATTGATGAGAACTTGCAAAATTGGGTTGGCATACGTGGAATGCAAGACTTAAGGTAGGAAATTCATTCTTTTAATTGTGAATTTAGGTTGTTCATGCATGAATTCAAGTAAATTGAGCTATAGGATGTGAGAATCAAGCTTAAGGAGTAGGGAAGTAGATCAATCCATGCATGCATGAATGTTTCATAGCATTTTGAAGATTGATTTCCAAGAATTTCTTCATGCATGTGTTGAATTCACTCTAATTTTGGAAACACAATAAGTTTCATGTTATTTAGTAGCATTTGATCATGTTTTGGAGAGCCTTAGCTCAAAAATGTACATGCATGTTATGTTCACGAATTAATTTCAAGTTTCAAGTTGAATGTTGTTCAATTGGCATACTTCTAGGGTTTGATTTTGTAAAATGATCTTCAAAACATGTTGTTTTATGAGTTTTCATGTATTTCCTCAAGTTTTGGGCCCAGAAAATTGAGTTTGTTTCATTTGGAGTTGAGTTTGAGCTTGGTGATCAAATCTGAAATTTCTAGAAATTTGATCCACGCTCGAGCGTACACTCTGAGTACGTGCACTTCCGCTCGAGCGACGATGTTTACGCTCGAGTGTGAAATGCATATACCCAGAAGTTCTTGTGTTTTACAGTCCGCTTGAGTGAGGGAATCGACGCTCGAGCGAGGTTCTGAGTCTCACGCTCGAGTGCCCGTTGAGCGTGAAAATCTTGTATCCAGCACTTTTTCAAGAGTTTACAGTCCGCTCGAGCAGAGCTTCATTGTCTACATGTCCGCTCGAGCGGGGAACGCCACGCTCGAGCGTGGACCTTATTTTCAGCAAGTTTCAAGAAATATTTTCCAATGCATTCTTGCATCCTCATTCCATCCTAGGCATTCCTATGCCATGTTTAAGACTCCATAATGAGGATTAAAGGTTAGAAACACACTAAGAGCATGACATAAGTTATGTACAATTAGAACGTGTGTTTCAAGTGTGTGTCTGTTATGTGTTATGTAGGTCACGTGCCGCATATCGTTTGACCAATCTGCTCTGTCTATCTGTCTCAAGGCCAACTGTGAGTAATAACGTAGTAAAGTTATGTTCAACTGTATTTATTTTCTGTGTGATAAAAGAAGATCTGTTTTCTAAAGTGCTATGTTCTGTACAATGAATGACTATCAAATTTCTGATATGTATTCGTGACATCCTTAGCATCATGTGATATGTGTTGGCTGTTACCCGGTATCGGAGGTTCCATTATGGAACTTAATCTGTCTGCACTCTGTTACCCGTACAGGAGGCTCCATCATGGGGCTCAGCATATTTATTCTTTGTTACCGGGATCCGGAGGTTCCTTTATGGAACTGGTTATTCATAACCCTCATGTGTCTGCATCTGTTCTGTATCTGCTCTGTTAATGCTAATGGATGTATCACGTATACTTAAGCATACCTTATGATTTTTGTAAATGATCTGGACAAATTACGAATTTGATACGAAACTGAATTATGATTTCTGAATCTGTACGGACTCATTCATTGAAACCCCTTTACTTTGTTATTGTTCATTGAGCTTTCACTCACAGTTTATATTATGTATGTAGGTGAGCCAGCGTGTGATCAGGGCCAGAGTTGACGGCCTATCTCTGTTTTGTTAGCCAACCGTTATGCCTCCCGAGGAGGTTCCGATCGAAGTCTAGTTACATGGTTGTTTTTGTACCTATGCTAGTCTCTGTCTTTTTGTGAAGTCGAGTCGTGGGGATTACACTTTTGTAAATATTGATGTCCTTCGACCGACACGCTTACGTATATGTAAGTTTTGAAATCTTCTGTCCCATGTATGTTATCACAGCTCATTGGACCTTGTCTATTTTGTATAATTGCTTTTGCAGCCCCTTATTATGTGCTTATCTGTTCAGAGGCCTTTGGTAATCCATGGATTACTGGCTGGGTACGATGCTAAACCTACAAGGGCGGGTTTGGGTTGTGACACTTTCATACCCTCATCTATGTATTGGTCCAGATGTCCCACCGCCAGCAGCTTCTCCAAATGTTGTTTGAGCGGCAAGCAGTCCTCCGTTCGGTGCCCCCGTTCTTTATGGAAGGTGCAACGATATCTTGAGTTGAAGCCCCTCTGTGTATTCTCCAACTTGGCCGGCCAACGAACGAATGGTTCACCTCGGATTTCACTTAGGATGCGGTAAATAGGGATTTTAAAGACTGTGGTGATACCGGTTCGCGCTTTCAATTTTCTCTTGGCATCTTCCTCTTCATTGCAATGAGCGTTAGCTCGGTCGTTTCTGCAACCTTTGCTTCTATCATCGCGGTTTGAGCCACGACGTTGATGTTTTGATCAGTCATTCAGGCGGTTATCCTCCTACCCCACCGAGTGAACCTTTCCCGCCATTCTTTTGTCTGCCGCGACCGGATTAGCCTTCTCGGTTGCGGAAGCGACATCATCCTCCCCACAGATGTGTTCGTTGATTCGTTGCATTAAGGACTCCATGGTTGCGGGTTGGTGCATCGTAAACGAATCTCGCAGCCTATGTCTGACTGGGAGACCACGCTTGTATTGAGTAATGGCCAGATTGGTAGGGCAGTCGAGGATCTCGTTGTAACTTTTCCAGTACTTCGCATTGTACGCCTTCAGCGAACCTCCAGACTCTATCTTGACGCCTAGGAAATGGTTGACCTTCTTTGACGTTCGAGTGTTGGTTTTGAATCTGGTGACGAAGGCTTTCGCTAGTTGCTGCCATCCCTCGATACTCTCCTCTGGAAGCCTTTCGAACCATTTCAGGCCCAACTCTCCTAAACTTGCTGGGAATATGAGGCACATCAGGGCGTCATTGCGCCGGTGCGCAGCCATTACTTGCCGGTAATGACTCACGTGCATGTACGGGTCCGTCCTGCCGTCGTACAACGTAAACTTAGGTTGGTGGAATCTGGCAGGGAGTGGTGTACTCTCGATTTCTGGAGACAGCGGTGTAGCTGTAAGTCTCGCTAGCTCTTTGTCTACAAGTGTTGGGGCCACTACTCTGGGTGTTGGCATTACCACTTTCTCACTACAACGAGTTTGGGAGCTTAGCCTCTGCAATGCCAGCAATCTCTGAGTCTCCCTACGGCGAGCCCTCTCCTCCAATACGTCCCTCAGGTCTCCCGAATGGGCGGAAAAGGAGTATCGCGATGTTGACGATGGGCGTAAGGGATGGTAGGTGCTGTCGCGAGTGTGAGATTTGCCTACCTGTGGGTCGAAGTCCCCAATCCCATAGCTTCTGGTGATAGAGAGAGAGTGCGTCCTTTCTTGGCGGCGACTGCCAGAGTGAAGAGATGGGGTGCGCTCACTGAGGCTGCCCTCTCCAGTAACACCCTTCCCCTTGATCTAGCGTTTCAGCACCTCCATCTCTGCCTCCATCTTGTGAATGAAGGTGTCCTGGTCTTTGAGTTTATGCTCCAGGCACTGTGCATGCGACTCCCCCCGCCGTCGACGGCCCTTTGGACTCTTTGAGCGATCAATATTCCTTGCACGTTTGTCACGCGCACCTTTCGAAGAGGTCTCCAGGTCCGCCATGGCTGGAATAGCATGGGGACCTTCTCTCCGTTGAACAGACTCCAGTGTGACACCATCGATGATGGACAGTGGAGTTTCATCGTTGTTAGCCATGGAAACGGTCGAAAAAGCTTGAAGATAAAGGTTTGTAGCTCAAGTTTTTCCCACAGACGGCGCCAATTGTACGGGGACGAAATATCCTTTTCTTTCCGTACTCCTCGAACTCAAGCTCCACGGAACGTTGCTTGGCCTGAAAACAGAAAGACGGTGAGCTGCCCGGTGGTGTGTTGACGGATAGTCCCTCTGATGATCAAGTTAGACCACTTGAAGAAGAAGAGAGCACTTTTAGGGAGAGAAAAAGTTGTTCAGATTGCTTACCTTCAACGTCCCTCATTTCTCCTTCTTTTAGGCTGGCCATGTAGCCTCAGGGATTGTGCGCTCACTACCTCTGCTGTCCTTCCCTGGACAGGTGGCAGTGCTCGCTTCTCACTACCTTACGTGTGTAAAGGCCAAAACCTCCAAACAGCATGTGTGGAACTGCCAAACGGTATTGACGCGTGCCAGGAGTGGATTTTCCCTCTTTCACATCACTGGTCCAGATGGCACGCTTAACCGGGATATCATGACCGACCTATCCCTTGGAAAGAAACACCACCATGACCAAGGCAACCGAACTGTAAAAGGTCGGTCCATCTGAACTGACTGACCGTGAGGCATGCCGGCCTATCCCTTGGAGAGAAACACCACCACGACCAAGACGACCGAACTGTAAGAGGTCGATCCATTCAAATTAACTGACCGTGAGGCATGCCGGCCCTCGTCCCGGTCCAAATTCATTCCAGGCTGTGTTTGGCTCGGTCCAGACGTACCATTGCGGGTCCAACCGAGTACTTAGCCGAATCACAGCCTGGTTGTACACATGCACGTCTTCGCACTCTGGCTAGCGACATAGCTCGGCCAAACACGATAGCTCGGGAGGCCGTGCAGATTTGGTTCGGCACCATGGCCTGGTGCAAATCTCCCTCTCAAACACTATACAAAATTTTGTTTATTTATTTTTTCTCACTTATAAAATACGAAGACAGTTATAATGTCGTCTCTCTTACATTGTATAAATTATTTGTTTTATTATTATTAATTATTTTATAAAAAAAATGTAAATAGTCTAATTTTAACAAATTAATTAACTTAACTGCACTAAAAAAAGAAGCCAAAAAAAATTGAAATTTATGTGCAATTCGGGTAATTTGGGCAATTCGAGTTTAACTCAGATTGGGCTTTGGGTAGACAACATTGGTTACAATTCTAGCTTGGCGCAAGCCTAGGTAACTCTCAGCACAATTTGGGTTGGACTTGGACAACCTCTCAATCTATCCGAACCCGTCCAACTTGCACCCCTAGTTTGGATTATAAATTTGGGACAAAATTTGAAAAGCAAAATGAGAAAGGCGGATGACATGTAACTATACCGAAACTCATATTTTCCTTCTCATTTTCTAAATCTCTACCAAAATTCATGATCCAAACACAATATTAGGGACAAACTTGAAATAATTAGATTATATCCGATACAACTTGAAATGATACCTATACTTACATGGGACAATTACTGTACAGTTGGTTCAGAAAAAATTAATTGCACATAAATGAAATTTTTTTACACATAAATGAAAATTTTTATATAATTAATTATTAATACATATACTATTTATTTATTTATTTATAAATTGTTTTCGACTGTTCAATATCAGAGTAATTCCCCTTACATTACATAATATCGGCATAGTCTGAACCCGATCAGCTCGATCCGATTGTATATGGGTATAGTAGGGGAGTGCAGCAGATATATCAATCTGCCCAAACCAATCAAACTGAACTCAACCAATCCGTCATATTTTGGACAGATGCGTGATGACGAGTAGACAGTTGCAGATTAATTTTTTCCAATCCGTCTAATTTTAGAGGGATGGCGGATTTGAGGTTCCTTTGGCCACAACCGAACCGCCAAACTGCAAGCACTCCTAGTAATTTGTAAGACTTTGTGTTTTCAATTTGTTTAGATATTCTGTTTATGTTTTCATTTGAAAAAGAGTTTAAATATTCTGTTGAAAAAAAGTTTTCAACTTGAATATATTTTTTGAATTGAAAAAAAATATATATGTATTATTTATCTATATATTTTGTGTAACAACCCCGACCTTTGATTCACGTTAATTCATGATTAAATAAGCCTAATCAGTAATTAAGGTGAAATTCTGAATTAATTGCATGTGTGTCGCATTATTTGTGCTTATATCTGTCTAATATAGGAATATCTGTTGAGTTCTGTGAATTGAAGGTCTTATCGGCATCCAATCACGAATTTGGCTTGATTTATGTGCTATTTTGGATTCTTAGAACATTATGGTAGGTTTAATTAAAATTCGATTCAAAACGATTAAATTAGAATAATTTAATGACCAATTAATTAGTTGATCAACAATTTTATTAAACCATTAACCAAGCCTATATAAGGCTCCTATATGTGTTTCATGTCTTTCCTTTAATACATCCTTGAGCCTATACAAGCAAACAAAATGTGGGAAATGAGAGAAAGAAGAAACCTTGGACTCAAATTAAAAGATTTGCTAGGAATTGAAAGAATTGGACTTAAAGATACAAGAAGCAAGCCTCTAGCCTCTCAATGGCAAGCCTAGGTAAGAATTCAACCCTTGGCTTGTTCAAATATGATGTCTGGACCTTGAATTCAAAAGAATTAAGTTGAACAATGGAAGAACTAAGCTAGAAATGAAGAAAATTGAGCCATTTATGCATGCATGCATATATCATAGCATTTTGAGTCTGTTTCTAAAGAATTTCCACATACATGTGTCTATTTTGACTTGGTTTTGAGAATTCATCACATTTCTTACCATTTAACCTTAATAGATCATGTTTTGGAAAGTCTAAGTTCATGCAAGTCATGTTCATGGCATATTCATATGTTTCAAGTTGACTTTTGAACAATGGGCATGCTATTGGGCCTTGATTTTACGAAATGGTTTTGAATTCAAGATATTTTCCAAGTTTATACAAGTTTCCTTAAGTTTTTGGCCTAAAAGGATGAGTTTTAAAGTGTTTGATTCGAGTTTTGAACTTGGAAGTGCAATTTGGAAATTCTAGATTCTACTCTTCCACGCGAGCGACAGAAGCTACGCTCGAGCGAGCACTCTGTGATTTTGCACTTTCACTCGAGCGAGCGACCAAAATTTGGCTCGAGTGTGAAATGCAAGCTCTCAGGAGTTTACACATTTTGCAGACCGCTCAAGCGACAAGAGTTGCGCTATAATGAAGACCCAGTCTCACGCTCGAGCGACCCTTGAGCGGCCATGAAGCAGAGAATTCACACAACCAGTACTTTTTAGAGTTTGCAGACTGCCCAAGCGAAGGAAGTTACGCTCGAGCGGCCCCTCATATGTTTGCATGTTTGCTTGAGCGAGAGAAGTTGCGCTCGAGCGGGGCCCCTGTTTTCAACAAGTTTTATTAAGAGTTCCAAAGTGCATTTTGGCATCTTCATTGCATCCCAGACATTCTTAGGCCATAATTAAGGCCTAATAATGAGGATGAGACTTAGAAACACACTAAGAACGAAATGAAAGAAGTTATGTGATATCCGGGTATGTGTTTCAAGATGTGTATCTGTTATGTTTGTATAGGTCACGCGCCATAAGTTGTTTGATTTTGTGTTCTCTGTCTATTTGCATCTAGAGCCATCTGTGAGTAATAACTCTGTAAAGTTATGTTTAACTTTAGTTATTTTCTGATGCTATGAAATGATCAGCTTTCTGAAATGCGATGTTTTGTATGAATGAATGATTGTCCAAATTTCTGAAATGTATTCATGGTATCTTTAGCACAAGGCCTTTGCCCAGAGGTAATAATACCGTGGCCTATAAGTACAAGGCCCTTGCCCGGGGGTAATAATACCGTGGCCTATAAGTACAAGGCCCTTGCCCGGGGGTAATAATACCGTGGCCTATAAGTACAAGGCCCTTGCCCGGGGGTAATAATACCGTGGCCTATAAGTACAAGGCCCTTGCCCGGGGGTAATAATACCGTGGCCTATAAGTACAAGGCCCTTGCCCGGGGGTAATAATACCGTGGCCTATAAGTACAAGGCCCTTGCCCGGGGGTAATAATACCGTGGCCTATAAGTACAAGGCCCTTGCCCGGGGGTAATAATACCGTGGCCTATAAGTACAAGGCCCTTGCCCGGGGGTAATAATACCGTGGCCTATAAGTACAAGGCCCTTGCCCGGGGGTAATAATACCGTGGCCTATAAGTACAAGGCCCTTGCCCGGGGGTAATAATACCGTGGCCTATAAGTACAAGGCCCTTGCCCGGGGGTAATAATACCGTGGCCTATAAGTACAAGGCCCTTGCCCGGGGGTAATAATACCGTGGCCTATAAGTACAAGGCCCTTGCCCGGGGGTAATAATACCGTGGCCTATAAGTACAAGG